CAGCCAATTGGTTCCTTGGTGCGTCAATTACTTAAAATCAATCTATAATAAAAGGGAGCTATATCTAAATCTGGACCGATTTTCACGAAACTTGGCAGACATCTCTCTATGCTCATTTCAGTACGTTATGTCAAATTTCGTGCAAATCGAAAGATATATAGGGACTTTCGTGCATCATTTATATGAAATCGGACGAAACTATATATGGGAGCTATATCTAAATCTTGACCGATTTTCACGAAACTTGGCAGACATCACTCTAGGCTTAATTCAGTACGATATGCCAAATTTGGTGCACCATTTACATGTAATCGGACGAAACTATATATGGGCGCTATATCTAAATCTGGGCCGATTTTCACGAAACTTGGCAGACATCACTCTAGGCTCAATTCAGTACGTTATGCCAAATTTCGGGCAAATCAAAAAATATATATAGGGATTTTGGTGCACCATTTACATGAAATCGGACGAAACTATATATGGGAGCTATATCTAAATCTGGACCGATTTTCACGAAATTTGGCAGACATCACTCTACCCCTAATTCAGTACGTTCTACCGAAATTCGTGCAAATCGAAAGATATATAGGGACTTTGGTACACCATTTACATTAAATCGGACGAAAATATATATGGGAGCTATATCTAAATCTGAACCGATTTTTCCCAATTTCAATAGGGTTCTTCCTTGGGCCAAACAAATGAGCTGTGCCAAATTTCATCCAATTCGGATCATAAATGCGACCTGTACTTTGCTCACAAAAATACATGGACAGACAGACAGACAGACGGCGGACGGACATGCTTAAATTGGCTTAAAAAGTGATTCTATGCATATCCTCAAAAGGAACCATGGGTCTATCTCGTTTCCTTTTACCTGTTACAAACATATGCACAAAGACATAATACCCTGTACCACAGTGTGGTGAAGGGTATAATTATAAATAAGGTAAATTTTTTCCGGTAGGCCCCATATAAGAGTATCCCCCAATTTTCAGTATTATAGGATTCTTGTCCCCATTAAAAATTGCTGAAGTTTGTATTTGATGTACATAATGGATTACATAAATCGGTTTGTAGAATTATCAGTATATGCCCACTTTTTGGTATGCTCCCTATATTTTCATTGCATGTACCTGTCAGTATAACTATGGTGGAGGGTATCCAAAGTTCGGCCCGGCCGAACTTAACGCTTTTTCACTTGTTTATATTAAAATAGTTATCTGATATGGTCCGCGTTTTTGGTTTATCCCCATATAGTCGTATTCCACCCTAGAAGGGTGTTTGGTATTCTAAGACGATTTTGGCGTTTTATCCATCTGTTGTATTCCTTATAATTTCGATATTAAAAACTAGAACGTTAGGTTTGAGAATGAACTATATCGGGCCGCAATTAGGGCTATTCCCAATTCGGCCCTTCGGTAATATCGATCCACCCATAGGCATAGCTCCCATACAATGATCCTTTAAAATATTTAGCGTGAAGTAAAGGATCGATATACAAAACTTAGTGGTTTGGTTCGAAAATGAGGTATACCTCTCCACATTTAGGTATTGTCACTCACTGAATGATACCTCACAATATTCGTCTTTGTTCATATGTTTCTAACAGGCTTTCTAAGTCGATTTATGCATGTCCGTCCGTCCGTCTGTCTGTCCATGTTAAATTGTAAAAAAAGTACAGTTCGCATTTATGACCCGAATTGGATGAAATTTGGCACAGGTCATCTTATCTTATTGATATTGGGAAAAATAGTTTCGTCCGATATTATCTAAATGATTCATCAAAGTCCCTATATATTTCGATTTGCACGAAATTTGGCATAATGTACTAAACTGAATCTAGATTGATGTCTGCTACCCTTCGTAAATATATTTTCGTCAGATTTTAACTGAACTGCGCCTAGAATGATGTGTGTTAAATTTCTGGAAAATTGGTTCAGATTTGGATATAGCTCCCATATATATTTCCTTTCGATTTTATGTAAGTTGTTGAAATCGGTTCAGATTTAGATAAAGTGGCTCCAATTTATATTGTTGATGGATTTTAGGTAAATGTTGCACCGGTTGACACGAAACGTATCAAATTGAGACTAGAATGACTTTAATTTTTTTTTTTTTATTGGTGCGGATAAATATTTTAACCAGTAAGAAAAGTAGTAAAGTCTGACGGGGCCGACTATAAGATACCCTTCACCACTATGGGTATATTAAACAGGACTATTAGCATGAAATTGAATGAAATAAAATATGTGATATTTATCTAAATGTGAATCTACCAAGATCTATTCATAAAGTATGTAAATCGACTTCAAACAAATATAAATAGGTCATCCGTTGGGCTATGTCTGTACTTCTAGAAAACGCAACTATATAATTTTATGCTCAATTTTGTACGATGTGCAAACTTTGATGTCAATCTGACTAACATGAGGAGTTTGATCCCCAATTTACTTGAAATCGGGACCGTTTACATTAAATCGGTTAAATATATATGTATGGGAGCTATATCTAAATATGAACCGATTTTTCCCAATTTCAATAGGGTTCGTCCTTGGGCCGAATAAGTGACCTATGTCAAATTTCATCCAATTCGGATCATAAATGCGACCTGTACTTTGTTTACAATTTAACATGGACAGACAGACGGACAGATGGACACCGGTTGCATAAACACTTAGAAAGTGATTCTATGTATATTCTAAAAGGAACCATTTAATTCGATTATTTTTTTTACAAACATATGCACAAAGACATATATATGGTGAAGGGTATAAAAACGGGTATCTGATTGAGATTAAATTTTGAAGAGTGCGGCATACCTAATTGCGTTTATTAAGTTTGATCTAAATCGATTTACATAAAATTGTCCCTTTGCACGCAAACGACTCTAAACATTCCCGAATGGAATGAAATTTAGCATAGTTTCATGTCAAGGTTCATGTCAATGTTCTTTCGAAAAGGCGGAGTCTGTTAGGAGACATATGCAGAATATACCCAAAGTGGTGAAGGATATCATATAGTCGGCTCAGTCCGACTTTACTGCTTTCCTTACTGGATCAGAGCACAATAACCAGCCACAAAGTTGTTATATCTGTTGAATAAGTACTGAGATATAGATCTCTAAAAAAATGCCGAATGTGCCCCAAATTAGCGAAAGGAAAATTACAGTTTTGACTCGAAGCTTTAACATACCGAATAAGAAGTGTGTTTTTTATATGGCTAATTAATGTGTATATGTCAAATAGGGAGTTCATGGGGGGGGGCTATATCAAAAAATGGTCATATATTGACAAATTTCGGAGGACACGTTTTTTTTCAAACAAAAACCCGTAATTAAAATACTTAAAGGAAACTTAACAAGCTCCAACAACAGACGTACAGAAAACAATAATCGAATTATAGAATATAGTGGAATTTTACTTTGGTGGTGGATGATTTATGGATACTCCGATGAATATTTCGATGTTTTGCAAACGTAGTGACATATTTAACGGTTATATTGGGGGACTTTGCGGAACCTCTTGAAAAATGTATTTAATCTATCCCGCATTTGTGCAATGTTTATTTTAAGGTATTTTTAAGGACTAGTTTATTTTCAAATTTAAAATTTCCTCCCAAATTCAGCGCACATCACTGAGTATTTGTATATTTTTTAAAATCATTAAAACTTCCAAACTGTGTTAGAATGAAATTGCTCTTCGTTGTCATACTTTATGTAAATAGACGTGCTCTTCAGATTAAAAAGCATACATGAAATGTGGTTATACCAAAAAAAAAAATCAAACGAAATCGTGAATTTGTTATTTATCCATATCATTTGTTTTTATTTTCGATTTTCCATTTAAGGGGACCCCCCCCCATTCTCGGTGTCAAAATTTTTTTTGATTTAATTCGAATCTACTCTAATTCTAGAATGTTCCTACAAAATTTCAAGTGAAAATCTCAAGAACTCTTGAAGATATAGCCGATTTATTGTGCAGCATCAAGTGACGGCTAAAGGGCTTCTCAAACTTTAAACGCGTTTTTCTCTTTTGCGAATGGCGGGCACGATAACTCAAAAACTAATAATCCAATCGGTTTCAAATTTTGACACATTTCTCTGGGAGTGTGTAGCTCTCGTATGAACTAGGATAAAGCCAATCGGTGAAGATCTTCCTTATTTTTTAACTTAATTTGTGGTAAAAAATAGGCGATTTTTCATAAAAAAATTTTCAAAGTTCCGCCATTTTGTTAATTGTTGTGCGAAGTCAATAATCCTAGTTCATACGAGAGCCAGACATGTCCTCTTTCTAACACAGTTGGAATTTTCGGATTCCGATGTTCCAGTGATGAGTTATCATGCCCGCCATCGAAAATATGGACTTTTCTTTGAACCCCAAAAACAACAACAAAACAACAACAACAAATTTTGGTAAATTATTTTTCTTCCTTTTTAAATCTTCAAATATATATGTGCCAAGTTACAAACCTTAACAAGCATTGGTATTCATTTACCAGCCCATTTAAAATCTTAAAAATAAAAAATCGAGAATGGGGGGGGGTTCCCTTAAATGCAATATTACCTTCAACAATTGAAATCTGTTTCAATTTCCATTAAACAGAGGCAACTTTCCTCATGTGTGATAGATAACAAACATGACACGATCACCTTGGACATTCTTGATTGACCTAATATGTGTATATGCATGAGACTAGTGCGAACATAAATAAACGAGGGTCACATAACAAGTTTGGGTAAAACACATGTAAACTTCCTACGGAAAATAAAATGATGTAGGTCAACTTATTTTTTTATCAAAATCTTATCTAGAAATTAAGGTTAAGTGCAGTTCGGAAATAATTATAGTGCTTCCTATAAAAATATTTTTATGAGGAAATATTTTGGTTGATATGCCATACAAATTTAGCCGACTAGTTTGTTATTCAAAATATGACCTTGAACTTTTTCTCCTTGTCGTCCGTTTTGTCCTTTCTCATCTATTTACCCTTTGCAGATATTTCTTGCTATTCTGTGCCTTTTGGGTACAGTTTGGGCAGACTCTACACCCCGATCGCTAGCCGATTGTATACAAGCCGTAATAGATGCTGGCTATTCATATCCACAGCCACAAGTAAAATTCTCCATTGGTCCAGGTGAAACCAAACTCAAAGCTACACCCCTAGAATCGTCCTCCTATTCATCGTCGTCATCATCGTCTTCATATGAATCATCAGCGTCATTCTCCGGTTATTCTCACGGTGGGGGACAAGCAAAATATGTAGCTCCCATTAAGAGCGCAGCATACCAACCGGCCGTTACATATGCCAAGGGCGGCAGCATAACATATGCTGATAAATCGCCAGCCTCCAAATATGCTGCTGTTGTGCCATCGGGTATTGAATTTAAAAATCTGGTAACACCCACCATTAACTTGCCCACCAAGAAAATTACCAATGCCTACTTACCACCACCGGTACCACAAGGTTCAAAGGTGGAATCATATGAATCAACCGGCTTTAGTTATACCCAATCGACACCGGGTGTGACAAAGGTAACAACCTACACTGCTGGTGGTGGTGGAGAATCGAAACTCAGCTATTCTGCTCCAGCTGTTACAAAAATTGCCAGCTATTCATCGCCGTTCGCTAAGACCACCCCAGTATTTGGATATGCCAAATCTGGTCATTTGGATTCGATTTTCACAAGTGCTGCATACAATCCCCAGGCAGGACATATTAGCTATGCTCCAAAGATTTCCTATGGCACCCCGACAGTTGCAAAAATTTCCTCAATTGCCTCAACCGATCATCTGGCCACATTTGAAGCTCAACCATTGTTCCCGAAAATTGAGACACCATCCCCAGCAGCCTATGCCTATGCTCCTGCGTTATCCAAGGGTTATTTACCCAGTCTGGAGACTAGTGGATATTCCAAATCTTCCTATGGGGCAGTCTCGCATCAACATGTTTCGAAACCCATTAACTATGTCTCGGCTCCTGTTAAGGTACCCACCTATGCGGCACCAATTGCTTCTCATTATATTTCAGCACCAGCCAAGGTGGCAACATTCTCTTCCGTAGGTTCTTATCAACATGCATCCGCTGGCGGTGGTGGTGGTGCCATATCGCATCAATATGTTTCGAAACCAGTTTCCCATTTAACTGGCTATGCTCCTGCACCAGCCCCAGTTGTGGCTAAGGTGGCTGCTGCCCCAGTTACGGTTACAAAATATGCTGGCGGAGGTGATGGTTCGGTACACTACACAACCAGTGCCAGTTCAGGACATTATGCAACAGGTGGCAATGGTGCCATATCTTCACAATATGTCTCGAAACCAACGGCATATGTTGCACCCGCAATAGCCAAGACAATAACTTATTCCGCACCACTTGCCAAGCCCCAAGTGGCATATGTAGCTCCGTCAGTGGCTAAAGTTGCAGTTACACCAGCTGTAACAATTTCTGGCGGAGAATCTGTGAAATATTCATCTGGCGGGGCAGTTTCCCATCAATACGTATCGAAGCCAACGGCCCACATTACTGGCTATGCTAGCCCGGCTCCAGTGGCAAAAGTAGCCACCTACACTGCTCCAGCTATCGCTAAGGAAGTTACTTACACAGCACCTGCTTCGGCCCACTTCAGTGTTTCTGGTGGACGCTTCTCTCATGGTGGCCTTGCATATTTGCCTCCCGAAGCTCCTAAAGTCGCCACCGGAGCGGTGTCGCATCAATACGTCTCGAAACCAGCCGTCCAACTAAGTGGTTATGCTGTTCCACAAGTAGCCAAGGTGGCCACATATGCAACACCAGCTCCTGCTCCCGTGGTGGCTAAAATTGAAACATACGATTCGCCAAAGGTTGTCAATATCGGTGCCAGTCGAGGATCGGTGCACTACTCCTCCAGTGGTGGAGCAGTATCTCATCAGTATGTTTCGAAACCTCAGACACCCGTTGTGGCCAAGGTGGCAACTTATGCCGCACCAGCAGCGGTGGTAAACATTGGTGGCCACGGTGGAGGTTCAGCTCATTACTCGTCCAGTGGAGGTGCTGTATCCCACCAATATGTATCCAAACCGGCTGCAGTAGTTGCAGCTCCGGTTGTCGCCAAGGTGACCACATATTCAGCTCCTGCTGCCATTAAGGTTGCCTCCTACTCCGATGGTGGATCATCGCATTATGCCACCTCGGGTAGTGGAGCTGTTTCTCATCAGTATGTTTCGAAACCCGCTCAGGTTGCAGTAGTTCAAGCACCCGCTGTTGCCAAAGTTGCCACATATTCCGCACCTGCAGCCATTAAAATTGCTTCGTATTCTGGCGGTGGTTCATCACATTATGCCACCTCGGGTAGTGGAGCTGCTTCCCATCAATATGTATCGAAACCCGCTCAGGTTGCTGTAGTTCAAGCTCCCGCTGTTGCCAAAGTAGCCACATATGCTGCACCCGCTGTTTCCTATGCAGCGGGAGGATCATCACATTATGCCACATCGGGAAGTGGAGCTGTTTCCCATCAATATGTATCTAAGCCCCTTCAAGCTGCTGTAGTTCAAGCACCCGTAGTAGCCAAGGTTGCCACTTATGCTGCACCTGCTGTAGTTAAGGTTGGCTCCTATGCCGGTGAAAGTCTATCTCACTTCTCTTCGTCGGGTAGTGGTGCGGTATCCCATCAATATGTCTCCAAGCCTGCTCAAGTCATTCAAGCTCCAGTTGTGGCCAAGGTGGCCACATATTCTGCACCCGCAGCAGTTAAAGTTGCCAGTTATTCCGGAGGTGGTACATCTCACTACGCCAGCTCTGGTAGCGGTGCTGTTTCTCATCAATATGTATCAAAACCGATTCAAGCTACTGTACTACAGGCTCCTGCTGTAGCCAAAGTTGCGACATACTCTGCACCTGCAGCTGTTGTTAAAGTTGGTTCCTATGCGGATGGTGGGTCATCCCACTATGCTTCGTCAGGCAGTGGTGCTGTCTCACATCAATATGTTTCGAAGCCAGCTCAAATCGTTCAAGCTCCCGTGGTTGCCAAAGTGGCAACATATGCCGCTCCAGCAGTGGTTAAAGTAGATGGTGACTCGGCTCATTACGCCGCGTCCGGCAGCGGAGCTGTATCCCATCAATATGTTTCCAAACCAGCACTGGCAACATACGAAGCACCAGCAGCAGTGAAGGTTGCCTCAGGCGGAAGTTCCCTGCATTATTCCGCCGGCAGTGGTGCAATATCCCATCAACATGTTTCCAAACCAGTTCAATTGGTTCAAGCACCCGCTGTGGCCAAGGTATATTCAGCACCAACAATATTGGCTGGATCGGCTGACTATGCGGCTGGCGGTAGCTCATCACATTTCTCCTCATCTGGAAGTGGTGCTGTCTCACATCAGCATGTCTCGAAACCTGCAGCACCGGCTGTACAAAAAGTTGCAATTAGTGCTGCTCCTGCTGTGGTCACCTACACCGATGGCGGCGGCAGTTCATCTCGCTATGTCAGCCAAAGTCGAGGATCTGTTCAGTATGCCAGTTCAGGCAGTGGCGGTGCCGTATCTCATCAATATGTATCAAAACCGACTACCCACCTTACCGGTTATGCTGCTCCAGCTGTTGCCAAAATTGCAACCCTGACATCGCCAGCAGTTACCCAATATGTATCAGCTCCGGCTGTGGTAAAGGGTGCCACATATAGCTCCTCTGGTGCTGGTGCTGTATCACACCAATATGTCTCTAAGCCAGCTGTAGTTGCAGCTCCCGTTGTAGCTGCACCCGCCATTAGTCAATATCATGCCGCTGCTCCCGTTGGTTTGGCCAAGGTTGCAACTTATCAGAGTAGTGGCAGTGGCGCTGTGTCCCATCAATATGTTTCGAAACCCGTCCAGGCTGCAGTTATAGGCAAGGTTGCAGCATACCCCGCACCTGCTGTCACTCATTATGCTGCACAGCCAGCCATTGCTAAGGTGGCAACCTATCAACAACCCATATCAGCGGTAAAATATCAAGGTGGCGGTGCCGTATCTCATCAATATGTTTCCAAACCAGGTGGTATTTTGGCTGCTGGACCCAAGATAGCTACATATGCTCCAACTGCTCCTGTTCTATCTGGCTCCTACTATAGCGGTACCTCGGGATCAGGGACAACATATCAACACATCAGCCAACCCACACTGATCTCGGGACCAGCCAAACCATTGTACAGTGGAGTTTCGTATGGTGGCCAATATGCTGCTGGAGGTTATGCTTCTCATCAATATGTATCACAACCGCAAGCTGCAATTGCCGCACATATTGGTGTCTCAGGACCAGGTTACAATAAGTTGGCAGCAATTTCATCCAGTTCTCATGCCTCTGGGGCGGTATCACATCAATATGTTTCGAAACCCGTTAAAGGAGTAGTTGTTGCGCCGTTACCAGCTCCCGCCATTGCAAAGGTCACCCCTGTCTACAATCCACTTTTGTCGGGTGTTGGCCACGGCTCAGGTGGTTATGTGTCATCCGGCTATAAGAGCGTATCTTCGGGTGCTGTATCCCATCAATATGTTTCCAAACCTGCTGCCGTCTTGGCAACCCCTGTCATTGGCAAATCTGTAAGCTATTCTGCACCACTTGTGGCTCATGGCGGTCCAGCTATAGGTAAGGTGGTTACACCAATATTAAGTGGCGTTAGTTCGGGTAAATATGAATCTCATGGAGCTGTCTCTCATCAATATGTATCGAAACCAGCCTATGGAGCGAAACTCATACCAGCCAGTGGTCCAGCAATTGCTGGCGGATTACATTTGGGCGGTGCAATTGCTCATCAACCTACCACGTTTACATCTCCCATTGTGGTAGAAGGTTCTGGACATGCAGGTTCGGCTGCTAAAATTGCAATTACTTCGGGTGGAGGTCATGGAGGCGCCGTTTCACATCAATATGTTTCACAGCCATCGCTGGTTAAGGGAGCTGGTATCTCACTCGTTGGCAAATCAGGTTTAGGCCTAAGTGGTCTTGGTCACGGAACAGCTTCTTATGTAACAAAATCTGTGCAAGGTCCAGCTATTGGTTTGGCTGCGGGACATGGTATTGGTTTGGCTGCTGGTCATGGAATTGGTTTGGCAGCGGGACATGGTATCGGCTTGGCTGGACAACATATTGGTCAAGGTTTGTACATACAATTATTTTAATAATACAAATATTTTCTATGGATTCAAGATATTAACGGAATTCTTAACTTCTTATATTCCTTTCTGCAGGTTATTATGGAGCTGTTAGCCTTGGACATTTTGGTACTTCTCCAGCATTGAATTATCAAAGCGTCTTAGCCGGTCATGGACGTGGTGGCGCCTTATCTGGTCATGGAGCTGGCTATGGTGGCATATTACATGGCGGTTTAGCGCCACTTGCCGGTTACGATCATGGAATTGGTGGTATTGGACCAAATGGAGCTGGTTTCTATAGATATGCACCCATTGCTCCAGCCCTAAGTTCTCATAGTCTGACGCCTGAGGCCTATTTGAAAACGGCGCCAATAATCAAGTCAGCTAAAATTAAAGTTATGACGGAAAAACATTTAGAATACTTTGTAAGTAAAAATAAATGAAGTGGTAAAGAAAATTACTAACATTACGCAACCCTGCTTTCGGATGAGTTGCCAACTATATATAATAAATTAGCATAGATCATGATGCAATAATAAGGTGATGTATCAAAACAAAAACCTTTGTTTTTGTCTCGATCAGTTAATCGAGACATCAGCAGCTGTAAATGGACCACATATTCATTGTGCCATGGCATAGATTTAACAACTGAAATATTTGAAGATTTCTTCTAAAACTAAAATGGCAACACCGATTTAGTAACCAACCTATCTTGAGTTGCCAATATTAAAATTGCTTAACCTTACTTTTTTATGAAATAAATCTGAGCTTATGAGAATAAGAAGGAATTATTTTCATTATTATTCAGAGTATTATTGATTATTATTCCGTATATCTGACTTAGCATTTGTTTTTCTAATTTAATTTCAGAACGATCATCCTCGTTATGCATTCGAATATGGCGTCAATGATCCAACAACGGGTGATATTAAACATCAACGCGAAGAACGTGATGGTGATGTGGTTCGTGGTGAATATTCACTAGTGGAGCCAGATGGTAATGTGCGTACCGTTAAATATTATGCAGACTGGGAAACTGGTTTCCATGCCGAAGTTATCAATAGTCGAGATTCTGTAAAGACACTAACTAAACGTACTGCCAGTAAATCATAAAGTAAGACTATGGGCTATTTATAGTTTTATTTGTAATAATATTTGAATTTTTTTTCCCTTCATTACAGTTAAGCGTAGTCAGCTGTTTTTTTGGGGCGTTCCTACTATACGATTTTATTTTTGTTATAAACATTTTGCACGAACGACACAACATTGTTTTAATTTTGACTAAATATATGAATACATCAACACATTTCCAACGAATGAATACTAAGTTTAAAACGTCAAGTGTGGGAAATCTAAATAGGGGAACACATAAGATGACTTCAGGATTGGCATGTTAAGTTAGCTTCCTTCAATTGTAAAAGAATAAAGGATGACACCATTCTCCTTTGACTCTGATATTATTTTACAAATTGTGTGAAATACAAAGCAAACTTAACAGGACAGTCCTAAATCCTCGTATGTGTTTCTCCCTTAACAAAATCCATACCCTCAAAATTGACAGTTCGTCAGATAGTAAATGTAAGACAGATGGCCCATTAATCTACTGAAGGAATGTACTATTTTTACCATGATAAACAATTTCCATTTATGATATGGAAAAATAGTAATTTCTAGCAGTAGATTCTCGCAGTACGGGAACAGGTCAATAATGTAGAGATACAAGGGAAGTACACGTTAAAATTTTGATCCATAAGGTGACTACAATATTTGAAGTATTTTACATAAACATATCAACTCCTTTGTATGTTGGGCGCCACGAAATTATCCTTATATTTACTTTAATCTGTTAAACTAACCAAATATAAAAATGAAAACAAATTCTGCAGGTCTAATCAAAAACATTTCAGACGCATTCACACAAAGGTACATTTTATATGGTAAACGCATCATCAATCGGTTACAACAAACAACTGTTGTAGAACAATGATATGTCAGAAATATTTTGAGAAAAAAGGTTAAAGATTTTATAAACTTTTAAAGGTTGACATCTAATTTTACCTACAGCTGTGCTGCTACCGCTACACATGGCACAATAAATATGTAATCCATTTAGCCTAGCTTACTATCCAATTAACTGTCAAAGTGCATAGTTCCATCTTCAAGTTCTAATAATATGGTCACCCAGCAAGCGAATGTCAGGTGTTTTTTCTCAAGTCCAATGTTAACAATTTTGACTTAATTAACGTCTTCATAATGGAAATCAAGTCCAAATAATGTATTTTGACAGCAAACTTCAATATCTCTTCGAAACCGAGAGTTGCCAATGCAAATTGAGATATATTATGAGCAGATCAGTCTACATCAGACACATCGAATATAACAAAATTTTTGACAAGAAAGATCTTAAATATCAATACGTGAATCAATTCTATTCATAATTCCATTCATAATTCATAAATTGGTGCATATTTTAGACTCGTATTGACAAATCTGCTGAAATTCCGAATTCAGTCGGATCATGCAACAATTTGCAAATAATAAGCTGATTGAAAACCACAATCAGCTGTTTATTTGCTGTACTTTTTATTGGATAATGTTCGCTCTTTAGCTTTAGTGGAACCCTCAGTATTTTATTCTTTGAATGAGTTTTCAGACAAATATTTAAAAAAAAAATCTCAGACTTTCATCAAATAATTCGTGTTCGATTGAATTTATAGAAGTACAAGTCACTGAAATTGAAATGTCTTTTCTGAAATTAGAATTGGTCTGTTCCCGTACTGCAAGAATCTACTGCTTTTTACTACGATAACGAAGAAAATAGTAAAATCGAGTATATTCTTGCAGTACGGGAACAACCACAATATTAGGAAACCAAACAAAATAAACTCAAAAAATGGTAAGCCTACATTTTTTGTCAAAATGTTTTAGTTCAAATAGATGATTCGTGTAGTTACCGGAACAGGGCAATCAATTGCAGTGCTGCCGTTCGAAAACAATTTTTCTGAACAAAATTGGATTGTCAATAGTGTCATCAGCAGTCTTTAAGGGCTAAGCAGAATGCTCGCGTTGAAACGAAAAAACAAACGCTCGAAGTTGATGTGCGCTGCGATTCGGAGTTAAATATATTTTAACTTTTTGCGTGCGTTAACGCGATAACAAAAAACGCCCAACGCGAACATTCTGTTTAGCCCTTTAGTGGATCAAGGTAGAGTAAATTAGGGATACGTAAATCGACCTTCGGCTAATCTACTTTTTTGTATTTAAAGCGGTGTACACACTATCAATCCTGCCCAAATTTTGTTTTTTAAATTTTTAAAAATTGTAGTGTGTACTCTCCTTAAAAATGTGAAAATCGGCTTTTGAACGTGGTATTAATTGCAAAGCTTTTCAAATTTTCTTATAAGTCATTGTTTCATGTTCGAAAGAAGCGAGTGGGCCACGAAATTCCAAGGCAACACAATGATATGTTTTTAACAGCACAACATTTTACATTTGTTCTGCCTTATAGTACGTTTACATTATACCGGATTTCGTTAACCCAGTGAGTTCAAATTGACAATTACATTGCATAAACATATGCCAAATAATCGTCATAAAGTAGGTTAACCCGGTAAAAAGTTCTAATGTAAATGCCGTTTTAGTTTTTTAGCTGTAAATCCGGATTTTCCATATTTGTCAAAATACAAGAGACACCTTTGAAGTGACCCCCGATTATTATTTGACAGAAGTGGTGAACCTGTCAATTTCTCATTTTATATTTTTAAACCAAGGCATACATGCCAGAGTTTATTTTTATTTTAAATTTAATAGTGATCACTAAAGGCGACTGTAATTGTAATATAAAATGGTAAGAAGTTTAAATGCGTTTGAAGTAAAAGAACTGGATTTCGGTACACCCGACATACAATTTTACAGCAAGTGTTCCCTAAATTACAAACTTTTTTCTTATTTTATATCGAGTTTTTCGGCTTAAAGATCAATAATTCCCTCATTTGATTAAACTTAGTATTCACATTATTCCATTATAATACTATAAACACAATGAAAATTACATCCGAATCATTTGTAATCGTCAAATTCCATTTTTTTCATTTTTTCATTTCCCAGTGTGTTCATAGCCATAATGTTGTTGCCTTCACACAATACGATTTATGTCAAACGTATAAATCGTATGGTGTAAACGCGCCATTTTTCTAATTAGATTCTCAATTATTGCCCCCTACTTCCTCCCATTTAGCTATAGGACAACAACAAAAAATCTCATCGATATGTATTATTTTGTACATTTTCAAGGAGGATATATGAATTTGATTTTTGCAGACTTCGTATTCTGTCCACAGCGTTAGGCAGAATTAAGGAAAATCATTCATTTCCACATTAGAAACATCCATCGTAACAAGTTAAGGTTCAGGTTAAAACAAAAAAAAACTGTGAATAGCATTTGAGGTTAGGTGTTTGCCAACACCCGACCTTGCATCAAAATGCCTTTCTTGTTATTTTCTTATTTATATTCATGTTACCATTAACATTTCTTAAATCATTCCATTTTAGAGAAAGTAAATCCACATTTCTTCCCACTTGTTTTGAATTTCTTGACAATTCTTTTCTAAAAATCATTTTTTCTGTGTGTATATAAAAATGTTGCATAAAAACGAAACATCTGTTATTTACTTAATTATTATTATTTGTCTTCTTTTTTGTATAAATATGTATGTATTAAAAACAAAATAAAATAATTCAGTTATGTGATAAACACAAGTGTCATACTTAATTATCTTCAGTGTATTTTTCTTTTTTTGTTTTCTTGTATAATTTAATATATATTTTTCTTTCAGTGTGTATAAAATAAAATCTAAATCTGTCATTTCTCTTTGTCGCTCATGAATTTCTTAATTTTTGTAAATATATTTTCTTAAGTTAAGAATTGTTAAAACTAAAATTACAAGATGAACAAATTAAATTAGTTTTATTCAGAAAAATCTAATCAATGTGTTTTATTTTATATTGCGAGCAGTGACTGTCAAACTTTATTCAACACGTGGCAGATAAGTGTAAAGGGAAGTATACACTATCAGTTTTTTTAATAATACCTGACTGTCCAACAACAAAAACATTTTCGTGTGTTCTGGTTTAAACTATTTACGGGCCATAATACCAAAAATCCAGTATTTATGCTTTTAACAACAACAGCTTTATGAAAACGAACAAAAATGGCATTATATTTGAATACTTTTACGCATCAAATTTTGCTGAATATAGGTTATTTCCCGCACTTTTTAGCAAAGCCAGAATATGAGCGAAATTCATCTTGCTGGAAATAGGAAAAGAGAACTCAATTTTTTAAACGCAAACTGATCTTTCTATTGGCCACGTTCTATCTAAAATAGAATGTATTGGCCCTTGCAACTGTGTGTACAAATATCTGTAAACCAGTTTTGGTTAATGTTAACATCTTTTTAATTTTCAAATTGATGATTAAATTATGTATAGACCCAGTGAGCCTTGTTAAGTACAAAATCTCCTTCGTATAATTTGATAGTTCAAACACATGGGATGATAAATGAATCTTAACAATGCGCCAATTTTTTTATTTGTTTTTCTCTTTTAAGGGGACCCCCCATTCTCGGGGTCAAATTTTTTTCATTTAATTCGATTCTACACTAATTCAAGAATGTCCCTACAAAATTTCATGTAGCCGATTTATTGTGTCAGCATCAGGTGATAGCTAAAGGGCTTCTCAAACTTAAAACGCGTTTTTCTCTTTTGCGAATGGCGGGCACGATAACTCAAAAACTAATAACCCAACCGATTTCAAATTTTTACACGTTTCTCTGTGAGTGTATAGCTATCGTATGGACTAGGATAAAGCCAATCGGTGAAGATCTTTTTTTTTCCAAGGTCCGCTATTTTGTTAATTTTAGAGCGAAGTCAATAATCCTAATTCATACGAGAGCCAGACATGTACTCTTTCTAACACCGTTGGAATTTTCGGATTCTGATGTTCCAGTGAGGAGTTATCATGTCCGCCATCAAAAATAAGGACTTTTATTTAATTACAAAAACAATAACAAAAATTTTTTGTAAATTATTTTTCTTCTCTTTCAAATCTTCAAATACATATGTGCAAAGTTACAAACCTTAACAAGCATTGGTATTGATTTACCAGCCCATTGAAAATCTAGAAAAATTAAAGTCGAGAATGGGTGGGGTTCCCTTAAGCCGGTAGAGTCTTGTTCATGATTG